ATTATTATTATTATTATTATTACTATTATTATTATTACTTATTGTATTGTAAAGTATTGACTTGTCCTATATCATGTACAATGATCCATGGATATGAAATAAATAAATAAATAAATAAATAGACGTTTTAAAGGTTCCGCTGGAGAACTACAAAACTTCTTCGAACCTCCTCCACTCTATGTTGGGAACCTTTCCTTCTATACCACAGAAGAACAAATATACGAACTGTTTTCAAAATGTGGAGATTTTAAAAACGTAATTATGGGATTGGATAAAATCGAAAAGGCCCCATGTGGATTTTGTTTTGTTGAGTACCACAGCCGATCAGATGCAGAAAATGCAATGCGGTATATCAACGGCATAATGCTCGATTACCGTATTATTAGAACAGATTGGGATGCTGGCTTTGTCGAAGGGCGACATTATGGAAGAGGAAAGACAGGTGGACAAGTAAGAGACGAATATAGAACATACTTTGATGAAGGTCAACCAAGAAGAGTTTAAAGATACCAAAGATGATGTGAAAGCAGTAAAGAGTGCCGGCCAAGATGGACACCGTCACAGGCGCTGATTTGGCAAAGGTGAACAGGGGCGGTGGAACTCCCATTGGGGATTGGGAAACATGCAGACCTGCCATCTATGTTCAACTACATGAACTAGATTGTCAGGAATTGACCGCAATCTGGCTAAATTCACCTATCGCAAATAATCGAATCGCATAAGTGTCAGCCAATCAGAGGATCTTAAATTTCGGTTGAAGGCTTTGGGCGCTTATTTCAGTAATACGGCGTAGTTTCTGTAAATGTGTGTACGCCGTTGAGGTATGTTGTGCAACTAATTCGAATAATTATTAAGTAGGGACTTTGATTTGAAGTTGTAAACGAAAGTCGACATTTATGCATGAATTTACATCTGTGTGTGACTTATGTATATGGATTATGCGTACTACGCCCAGTGAAATTAGAAACAAACATGTGTAAGATTTGAGGCTTTCACGGCGGTGACTATGAAGAAAGCAGTCTTTTGGGATTTGGAACCGTGTATAAGTGGTGTTAACCGACGTTTCGGAGGAACGTATCGCCTCCATCTTCAGGGTAGAAGAAAAAATATAAGAATTCTGCAAGCGGAGAGACCGTGAGAACCGGTACAAACAGACTGTGTGGAAATACACAGCTATACAGATAGCTGAAGATGGAGGCGATACGTTCCTCCGAAACGTCGGTTAACACCACTTATACACGGTTCCAAATCCCAAAAGACTGCTTTCTTCATAGTCACCGCCGTGAAAGCCTCAAATCTTACACATGTTTGTTTCTAATTTCACTGGGCGTAGTACGCATAATCCATATACATAAGTCACACACAGATGTAAATTCATGCATAAATGTCGACTTTCGTTTACAACTTCAAATCAAAGTCCCTACTTAATAATTATTCGAATTAGTTGCACAAACAAACTCAAAGGCGTACACACAT